TGAGGATTAATTGTGGGAAATTAGGCTTAATTTGGTAAAGTTGCTTAATATTTTCATAATTGTCTTTTATGGGATCACAGGTGTTTTCAAGTGTTTTTCAGGCTACTAGTGCTTAAATGTTATGCTCAAATGAAGAATCATGTCGGCAACAAAATGAGTGATGAGTAGAAACAAACGGATCAAGAATCGGAGTTGAATTGAAGAAGTTATGGAAGTTTGAAATAAAGAGAAGATTCTAGATTACGCTCTAGCTTGAGCATACCTCGGCATTTTGAGAATATTTCAATCTGTAGAATCAGATTAGAATGATTCTTTGATCATTGGAAAGATAATTCAAAGGTCTACATTTCATATGTTTACCACTTCTCCAGATTTTATCGTTATCGAGCTCAAAAATACCATCTCTGAAGAACAGTGGAATGATGCAGGAAGAAGAAAAGTATCACTGTGCTGCAGCATAGTGCCGCGGCACACTTTGTCTAGTAGATACTGTGATGCAGCACAGTGCCGTGGCACACTTTTTCCAGTAGCTACCATGCCGCAGCACAGTGCCGAGGCACAGTCACGGCAGTTAACAAATTGTCATCCGTTTTTGTTTAGGAAAATAGGGTTAAGAGTCCTAAACCAAATAGAATTAGGGAAAATAAAACCCTAACCCTTATGGGATATAAATAAAAGTCTTTTAGCATTATTTTGAAGATTCTTTGGGGGAGAATAAGAGGAGGAAAACCTGTAGAGAAGATAAGTAACAGAAGTTCTGGAGCTTTGATTCACAATATAGAGAAGTTTTTCTTGTTCATTTCTTATAAACTCATGATGATTGTTTTAATAAAGATGATTGTTTCTTTCATGTTTATTATGAACTAAATTTATTCTCTAGGGCTAAGATGTAGCCCAATCTCTTGATTATGTATTGATTTATGCTTGTTAATTTTTATTAAGAATTCTTCGTAAAGTTTTACTATTATACCTAATGCTTTTGATTCTTAACGGCCCTTGAATTGAATGAACTAATGGACTAGGTTAAGATCGAGAGATGATACTTAGTTGGTCTACGATAATAAAACCATAGGTTGAGCAAACGCTAGAGATACGTTACCGCGACTTGTGAGGTTTTGGTAAACTTCATAGAGCGTAATGATCCTCAATTGCTTAAATCTGATTAGAGATAATTCGGGTTAGTAATTAGGAGTTAATTTGATAATTGTTAGAGAGAAATTTATTGGAAATTTAGGGAGTTTGACCTATAGGAAGAGCTTAATAAAATTAGCATAAGTGATTGATACATATGAGTAAGAGTTGGTGTGAAGTCTATGCCCTAGGTTTAGTCATCTTGTTTTAACCCAAAAGGTTTATTTTAATTGTTCTCTGCTCAGTTCTCTTTTTAAATTCAATTGTTAATTTAGTTTAGATTTTCCTTGATACAATTTGGATTGATCAAATAGTAATAGGATATTTTAATTGGTAATTGATAATAGTAATTCCCTTGGGTTCGATATCTGTAATTTTACACTTTATTACTTGCATGATTTCATACACTTGCGAAAATCTATAACAATTGGGTTTTTGGTTTGATCCACTGTTTGGTGAAAAAAAAAAAAAAAATGGTGTTTGGGTTTATTGTAATGGAAAGATAATCTAATCCTACTGCCTTGTTTGTGTAGGTTTAGAAAACAAAGGCTTAGAGAGGATCTTGGCAGAAGCAGTAAGGCTTTGATATCATGTTAAAGTTTGGACTGGAAGGAAGCCAAAAGTGGCAAAACATTGCCGAAGATTGCCAATAGAAAGAGAACTTGACAAAAGTAGCAGAGAAGAGCTGAAGAATGTCAAGAATATAGAGAGAAGAGAATTTTGTAATTGTATTACTTGTATATTTGTAATGTGTACAACAACCAATTTATATAGTGGCTGTGAGTATAGTAGAGGAAATACAATAATACAAAAATGGAAATACAATAAAATTTTAATTATAGAATATTACAACATTTAACCAAATAAGCATCATATCAGTAATCACTTGATTCCAGCATAAATATCTTCAGCTTTCCATATTTCATCACAAGCCTCTAAATAGAAGTGATCACAAAGACTTAACCTTGAGCATCTATAATAAATCTTTGCACACTAATAAGACTTAACGTGGAGGAGAATAAATCATATCAGGCAATAAATTTCTTTAGTGGGGGAATAGCAACAAGGATTAATCAATCACAAGCTTCCTGATGAACTTCAACAAGCATGAGTCTACAAAAATCAACTAATTTAAGGGTTTTTTGTATAGAATAAAAGTTGGGAGGGATGGCGTAGCACATCCAATAATGATCGGTAATTAACTAGTCTTAAAATGACTGTATATATGAGATATGAGATTATTGACAAGTTTGGGGAAGAAAAACATGTACTGTCATCACAAAAATCTGTGTAATACTATATTAATTAGTATTATTTATAAGGGAAAAAACTTGGATAAATCTCGAATTTTCACTTTGTTAATGTAGTGAAACTGTGTAATTCAATATTGTTACTCCTCGTTAATTTAATGTTACATGTCTTCGTTATTATTATCGGTGTCCTACTATATTGAAGGAATATATCTCTCTATTATTACGTATTCTTAGAAAACATTTTCTCATTTTTTTAGAGATCACTAACTTGTTCTTGTAATATTGTTTTCATCGTAATATGTTATGGATCTTTCTAATTAACTAAGCTTAACTAATTTTTTAGCAAGCCCACCCAGCAAGCAGATATACTTGAATCAATTACAGAACCTGGCTGACGCAGACAAAAAGCACACTGTAGTTGGAGATTTTTCTACGTAATATAAACCATGACAAGGTCGATCTAATGAAAATGGTAGAATATACGCTCTACAGTACTGGTGGGGCGGCTCAGAATCCGACTATTTTTTCCTTTTGGAAAAGGTTATTCAAGATCCAAATGTATTTGCTGACATGTACATAATATAAAGTATAAACTAATTACTATGCTCTGTCTCAGAATAAAATGATCTTTTTTTCTATAAAGAGTAAGATTCATAAAAATAATAAACCAGTAATTGATTTGACCCTCTCCGGCTATAAAGTTAGGACGCCATGGAAAACGGACATTATCATTAACAGGAGTTAAGAGGGTGTATTCCAAAATGGCGCATAGCATTCAACACCAAACCACTAAAGAAGCTCAGTTTTCTCAAACAAAAGAAGCAAACTCACATATAATTGACAAGTTCTCCATTGCAAAGCATACTCATGATCAGCTCTGTTGAATTTTAATATTTATTGTTCTTTGAAATTTTAAATGAAATTATTTTTTAATATATAATATTTGGCTCCCCTCATGTATATTCCTTGCTCCGCCACTAATTATATGCCAATCATTTAGGGGGTTCTAGAAAGAATGCAGGACCGACCGCAATTGATCAAGTTTCATAGGTTTAGAATGAGGCAGCGCTTTAGTGTAAAAACAAGGCTAACACTCAGCTATACCTTTAGGATTAATAAATAAGTCTCAATCGTAAAAACTTTATTCATAAAGTTTGAAGAAAAATCTGAAAAATCATTCTATCTCTTCAAAAGAAATGAATAATATGTTTAATAAGGTGGTGATAGTCAACTCTAACAATATCCCCAATTAAATAAGGAAATAAAATCCAAATTAATTAAAAGAAGAAATCCTAACTTTGACTAATTATAAAATAAGAAAGGATACTAAATAAAATAAGAAAACGCGAAAAAAACTTAACAGCCCTGAGACATGCCAAAACAGTAGATTTTGACCCGAAAATGACCCCCAATTGGGTTACCAGGTTGGCCATGCCATCAAGCTCGAAACAAGCTTTTCATTGATATCTTACAAGTTCCTTAATTCTTCCCGAATTAAAAATTATGACTGTTTTAAGTTAACATGCTCATTTAGGATTTAGGACCTTTGGACCGTACGTTTAGGCTTCTAACGCTCAACCTTATCTAGGAATTCGTCTGCTGGACAATCTATGTCATAGAACCCTTATAATGAAGTAAAAGTCTTCCAAGGAGGCTTATCTTATTAATTTTGATAAAGACAACTTCCCCTCTAAGAATTGGGGAAGGAAGTTGACTCACCATTGCTGCTAATTAAAGTCATCGAAGCTTTCTAGAATGGAGGCAAAAGCTTTTGGCTTAAAACGACAGAAGAGGGTGTTAATGGGGCATCACGTTTGACAAAAGACAACGGCAGAAATTTCATCGAAAAGAACATTTTCACAATGAAGACACGGAAAACTTAGTTGTTAGAGAGTGATAAGAGAAGAAAATTATATTCTATTTTAAATGAATTTACTTAGGTGTTGACTGTTCACTTGGCAAGAATTTTGAGTCTTTAAATGAATTAAACTATATTTTTATCTATATTACGATTGTTATTTATGCATACCAAATATGTATATAAGTTGATATGTTATTGCTCTTTTATTTTCGTTATTAGTTTTTCTATTAATAAGAAAATCTGTGCTCAATATATATATAAATTTTAAATTAATTTTATACGATTACCTGATTATGGTACATAATAATTAAGATAATTTGTCTTGGATGAATTGACAAAGGAATGAGACTTTTAACTTATTTTATTAATTTAAATTGTTTACATAAATTTTCAACTGTGTCAGAAATTTACGTGTAATATTGTAATATTGTAGAAAGGGCTTATCGAAAAAAATTAATATTCGATTAAATCAAATCAAATAGCATTATTTATGCCTACCCGTTTGACACGGCCCTAAGAAATAATGTACATTTTCTTCCTTATTTCTATTGTGGTAGGTCCAATTATGAGAATAGTATTATTTATGGCCATCTGCAATGACATTGAGGTGAGGTGACTGATGATTACTGAAAGTCAGAGGTAGGAAATTTCATGCCTTGGGTGGCCGGCCAAGTTCCAAACCACTTACAAACATCGTTAAAGTCTAATAACTAGACGACGTGAGAGTTGAGACACGTGAAAATTCTAGCAAATTGATTCATCATTTATACTTATCACTAGTTTTTTGCGGTTCTCTGCAAATCAACCCTCATGGAGAGAAATAGTTGTAATCTCATTGTCATAGGTTTCTTAGTCTATTGTTTCATGTTCTCTTTTATTATGGCTGCAATTACCAAAAATATTACCACTGATCAACTTGCTCTTCTTTCTCTAAAAGCTCATTTAAATCCAAATGATCCGTACAAATTATTGTCACAAAATTGGTCTTCAACTGCCTCTATCTGTAACTGGATTGGTGTTTCTTGCGGTGTCCGTCACCATAGAGTCACAGCCTTGAATATTTCTTATTTAGGTCTTACAGGCACCATTCCTCCTCAACTGGGAAATCTTTCTTTCCTCACGACGCTAGCCATTCAAAATAACAGTTTCTATGGCTCTCTGCCTGATGAATTGGCTCAATTGCGTCGATTGAAGTCAATCAGTTTCAACTTCAATAACTTCAACACTGAGATCCCGTCATGGTTTGGGTCTTTCCATAAACTTCAGCACTTGCTTCTGAAAGGAAACAACTTCATTGGGTCCATCCCACCCTCTCTTGGCAACATATCTTCACTGGAAAAGCTTGATCTTAGTTACAATAAGCTTTCAGGTACCTTCCTTAATTAATAGACAATCTGGTCTGACTCCTAGACAGTTTTATCATTTTATCTTTCTAATTTGATTTTAATTAATTATTTTCCAGGAGCCATACCAAAAGAATTTGAGAACTTAACAGAACTTACAGAATTGATGCTTCGCTATAACAGCCTCCAAGGTATGACGCAGCCTATCAATTTTATATTAAAATAATGTAACGGGAATAGGGACGAAACAGAAATTATCTTAAAGTCCATAAGTTCAAAATAAAATAATATAAAGGGAGACTGACCAGTTCCCACCCATGGTTTGGCGTAAGTTCTTCTCTCCCTCTCCCCTCCCCCAAACAAAGGTTTCCAAAAAAACAATTTCCCACCCATCGTTATGATATGTTACTTAGACAGGGGTAAAGCTACGAAAAGGCTATAATACTCTTTACTATTTGACTTTATAATTTTTAATAGGGTTGAATAAAATTTTCTCACTCAAACTTTGTTAAATGTATTTTTCACCCCTAGTTTGAATTTTAATGATGGACTGGCTAGCCACAATTGTCGGTGGACTCGCTGGCCACGGTTGTTGGATGATCTATCCAACAGCACAAACGAGGAAGCCACTGGTGACGACTATTCCCCGAAAAACGCTAGAGACTATTTTGTGAAATACTCTTCAACGCTGTTTCCAGAGGAGATTTCGACAATCGTCGCCACTGTTGGGTAGATCGTAGGATGATCTACCCAACGGTGGTAACGGTGAGTCTGTAGGCAGAGTCGTTTCACCAGAAAATGCTGGAAAAGATTGGCCAATATTTTTCTTCCGTTTTCGACGAAACGGCTTCACCAGGGGACTCTTCGACTACACTGTTGGATAGATCGATGGCCGATCTATCCAACTGCACCGACAGTGTGGTTGGACTTGCCGTCGGTGACTAAACCCATATCTTGCCGGTGCGATTGCCCTGACGTACACGCCTGCCAGTTTTTATTCTTCACGAATCCTCATTTACACCGTTAGATAGATCGCTGGTCGATCTATCCAACGGCACTGGCAGTGTGGGCAGACTTGCCATTGGCGACTGAACCTAGATTCTGTTGACGATGGTAGGTCAGCCAGTTTTTATTCTTCATAGATTTTTTTTTTAAATTAAATAAAAAATTGAAATTGAAGATAGAGGTTTAAATGGATAATTCCAAGTTGGTGAAGGTAATTGTTATGTGTTTAATTTAGGGTAATTTTACAAACTGATGAGAATGCCCTTTTGCCGTTTAAACTAATGTCTGAATTTTAACGATGGGTGGGAAATTGTTTTTTTCAAACCTTTTGGTGGGAAAATTATTTACGCCAAAACTTGGGTGGGAAATTGTCATTCTCCCTAATATAAAATATAGGAAAAGTAAACGAATAGGGTCAAATCTAAAAACACTAACGTAAATGCACCCTAGGCAAGTTTTTTTTTTTTTCCTAGCCTTTGACCGGGATATTGATGAGCATGAGTAATTGATTATTTTGCTTAGATGGCGTTTGGTTCGGGATGATATAAGATTAATCTTATAATCTTTGTTTAATTTTCAAGATTCTCTCGTTTAGTTGTTAAATAATAAAATATTACGTAATCTTTTATTGTAAATAGTATTTACTGTTGGTAATATTAGGGATAATCAGATTACCTTCTCAAAAGGTGTTATTATAAGATTACTGAGGTAATCTTAATTTTGACCATATTTTGCCCTTAATCTTTTATCATTTCGGACACACCTCATATGTCTACCAAATAACAATTACCCAGACCCCTTACATTTGAGGATTTAACTAAAATACTCTCGCCACAAAAAAGTTTAAAAGTTAACAAAACACCCCCAACCACCCAAGACCACCCCCGGCCACTAGCCACCACTGCTAGAGGCCGGCGAAAGTTGTCATATCGACACAAGATCGGCAGGATCTTGCTGGCCATGTGCCGATAAGGACGTTTTCGACCATGGATTTGTGATTAATGGTTGGAAATAACCAGATCTGGCCGTTTCACTACCAAAGACGTGGCCGTGAAACACCATAGATCTGGCCATGAAAAGGCCAGATTTTTTGTCGTGAAATGGTCGTTGTTTCATGACCAGATCTGTGGCCATTTCACGGCCACATTTTTGGTCATGAAATGAGATATGGCCAGATTAGGTCTTATTGACGTACGACTAGCCATATTCGATTGGTTGTGCACCATTACGACGGCTTCCGATGGTGGTGGCTGGCTGCCAGCGGTGGCTTGAGGTGAGTGGGGGTGATTTTGCTACAAATTAAAGTTGCATATGGTTGGGGTGTTTTAGTAAAATTTCAAATATAGGGGGGTTAAAAGAAGTAATTTAAAAAATAATAATAAAAATAATATTATATTATTATTTAAAAATGAGGGCAATTTAATAATCTATATAACATACTCACTCATTTATCATCCCAACCCAACATATTATTATAATATACCCACTAATTTATTCCAACCCACCAAACACATTTCTCTAAAGATTCCCTATTAATCTATCTTTCCAATAATACAACATTCCTCAGTAATATAACATTCTTTGAACCAAAAGCACCCTTAAGTAAAACTTATATGATTTTACATTCTGATCCTTCTTTTTCTTTTTTACTGTTACCATTGCAAGCATGATACTAAAATTTTATACTGAAACTTCCTGTCAATCAGCTAAACGATTGTTAACACCCACGAAGAAATAAAAAGACTTTCAAAATCTTAGAAGTCGTCACGTATTTGTTGATTAATGACAAAATCTGGTTACATTTGTTGATAATTTACAGGAGAAATTCCACAGGAGCTTGGTAATCTCCCGAACCTGGAGATATTGCTACTATCACTTAATCGTCTAATAGGACCCATTCCATCACCTATTTTCAACCTTTCCTCCCTAACCATAATGGATTTTACATATAATAACCTGACGGGTAACCTCCCTGAGAATATGTGCGAAACTCTCCCTGCTCTCCAAGGTATTTTCTTGTCTGGTAACCTGCTTAATGGTTCAATACCCCACAATCTGTGGAAATGCAGAGAGCTGCAGCGAATTTCTTTGTCACTTAATCAATTTGAAGGAAGAATTCCAAGAGATATTGGGAACTTGACGTCTGCCACTCTTCTATCTTTTGGCCGAAACAACTTGACTGGTATGCACCTTGTAACCTCTATCCAATAGTTAAAAATTAATGAGCAATAATGTCATCAATAATTTTGTATTTAACTAGTATGGAAAAATAATAAAATAATTATGCATGTTGAGAATTTTGGCTTGTCCTTTAGTTTCCTTGTGAGTTTGAGTTTGTATTTCTTTATAAAAACCTATCAGAAAATTAGTAATTTATCTATACTACGACGAAGAATATAATTCCTACTGGGATTAAGAAGATATTTCCCATAAAGAATTATAGCTCTCTATTAGCTTATAATGTTGACCTTAGGTCATGGAAGAGAAAATTATGTGAGGGCATTACAAAGTTTGTCAACATGTAAGAATATTATTGGTTTGGGGTGTTGGTAGGTATCATATTGAATTGCCTATTCTTCGGAGAGTACTACTAGGTATTGGGATACAGTTGCTAATTTGGAATATTAATATTTTTTCACTCATATGTGGATGTAAGCTTTATGTCGAATAACGTTAAATATGGTGTCTTTTATGTGATTAGTGATTTATTTCATATATTGTTAATCTTGATATTTGATATGCTTCTGCAAATACACAATAACGCATACTTAAATGTTTGCAGGCGGAATACCATACGAGATCGGAAATCTTCCTAATCTACAAATTCTGGGAGTTCAGTTTAATAACTTAGGAGGCCTTGTCCCTGCTACTATCTTTAACATCTCAACATTGATAGAACTTGCACTTACGGACAGTAACCTTTCTGGGAATCTTCCATCAGGCACAGGCCTAGGACTTCCAAATCTTGAGAGACTTTACTTGGGTATAAATGATTTTAGTGGGAGAATAACTTCCATCACCAACGCTTCCAAGCTCACTTTTCTCGACATGGGGACCAATTCATTCTCAGGCTTTATTCCGGACACAATAGGTGATTCGTTAAGAAGCCTGGAGGTGTTGAGTCTATCGGAAAATCACTTGAGATCTTCTACTCCAGATTTGAACTTTCTTTCCTCGTTGACAAATTGCAAACAGTTGAGGATCTTACAATTGACGGGAAATCCCCTTGATGGAATCCTTCCAAATTCCATTGGTAATCTTTCCCTCAATTTGGAATCATTTTCAGTCGATAATTGCAATATCAGGGGCAGCATTGCTGAAGATATCGGTAACTTGAACAATTTGACAGTCCTACGTCTAGGAATGAATGAATTGACTGGATCGATTCCCATTACACTTGGCCGATTGCAAAAACTCCAAGGTTTGTATCTCGAAAGAAATAATCTAGAAGGCTTCATCCCGGATGATCTTTGTCGTTTGAATAATCTAGTTGATTTGTACTTGGGCGGTAATAAGCTTTCTGGATCCATTCCTCCATGCTTGGGTACTCTTACTACTCTAAGAGATCTCTCATTAGGCTCTAATGGATTAACCTCCATTATTCCCTCAAAATTGTGCAACCTGAAAGACATCCTGCACTTAAACTTGTCATCAAACTCTCTAAACGGATCGCTTCCATTAGAATTTGGTAATCTGAAAGTGTTGAATGATGTAGATTTGTCATGGAATCATTTGTCAGGTGATATCTCAATTGTAAATATTGGAGGGCTAGAAGAGCTACAAGTTCTAAACTTTAGCCATAATAGATTCCAAGGTCCAATTCCTATATCATTTGGTGAGTTGACAAGCTTGGAGTTCTTCGATTTGTCTAATAATGATATTTCCGGAGAAATTCCCAAGTCTTTGGAGACACTGTTGTTTCTCAAATATCTAAACTTATCTTTCAATCGGCTACAAGGAGAAGTTCCTAGAGGAGGACCTTTCGTGAATTTTTCAACTGAATCATTTATGGGGAATTATGCTTTGTGTGGTTCAACCTTATTGCATCTCCCACCATGTAAAAGAATCACTCAAAGAAAATCAAGGAAAATTCTTATCATTGTTTTGCCAGTCTGTGTTTCATCAATGGTACTTGCACTTGCCTTGGTATTAATACTGAGACGACGTGGAAAAAGAAGCACAGAGCTACCTGATGACGATCATATCTCATTACAACCAACATGGAGAAGAATTTCTTACCAAGAACTTGTGCGAGCAACTGAAGGGTTTAGTGAAACAAACCTGCTTGGCAAAGGGAGTTTTGGTTCGGTTTACAAAGGAAGACTTCAAGACGGGATAGAAGTAGCAATAAAGGTGTTCCATCTGGAGCATGAAGGAGCACTCAAGAGCTTTGATTCTGAATGTGAAGTAATAAGTAGTATACGTCACCGAAACCTCATCAAAATCATCAGTTGTTGTTCGAACAAAGATTTTAAAGCCATAGTGTTAGAGTATATGCGCAACGGGAGCCTAGAGAAGTGTTTATACTCTAGCAACTGCATTTTGGATATTTTGCAGAGGTTGAACATAATGATAGATGTCGCATCGGCTTTGGAATATCTTCACTTTGGTTATTCGACCCCTATAGTTCATTGCGATTTGAAGCCCAACAATGTATTAATAGATGAAAATATGGTTGGACATTTGAGTGATTTCGGAATTGCAAAACTCTTAGGCGAGCAAGACTCTTTGACCCAAACACAAACCCTTGCCACAATTGGCTACATGGCACCAGGTTTTTCCTAGTTTATAATTTGCTATTATTTATCATATTCATGTCAAAATATTATTGTTGATTTGGTTAACAATGAATCTAACTCCTCCTGCAGAGTACGGAAGAGAAGGAAAAGTATCTAGAAAAGGTGATGTTTACAGCTATGGTATTATGCTAATGGAAACATTTACAAGGAAGAAGCCAACAGATGAAATATTTATCGAAGAAATGAGCTTAAGGAGTTGGGTTAGTGAATCACTATGTATAACTGTGATGGAAGTTGTCGACACGAATTTGCTAAGAAGGGAGGATGAACATTTTTCTGAGAAAGAGCAATGCGTCTCATCTATTTTGAGTTTGGCCATGGAGTGTACAGAAGAATCACCGGAGACGAGAATCAACATAAAAGAAGTCGTAACTCGACTCTTGAAAATTAGAGTCATACATTTGGCTAATATCCAAAGGGGTGGACATAGAAGGATTTTAAATTAAAAGAGTTATTATTATAGTTTTTGTTTAGTAATCATATTTATACCAAGAGTGTAAAGATTATATGTACAAAGGGCATTCTTTCTTCCTCTGTTTTGGCCTTACCATAATTTATCTGTACTTTTGGGAATAGAAACTCAACCAAATTGTTGAGATTGCGAAGTCAAATTCAATCCAAATTAGAGTTGAATTAGGACATGNAGAAAATGTCGTTAAGGCAAACCTTGGGTGAGAAAAATCATTTACTCAATTTTAAAAGAGCATGTTGATAGACTTTAAAGAAATATTAAATTTTTTAAGTAAGTTTTGTTGAGATTGTGGAATCAAATTCAATCCAAATTAGAGTTGGATTAAGGCATGGGTTTTCCTAATTTGTGTTTAAGTAGAATTGTTTTCTTTTAGGAATACAATTGGAAATATGATTATAATTGTATTAGGAATTAAAATATAATTCCTATTAGGATATGAGATTTGAGTCCTATTAGGAAGTGTGTCCCATGTATTACCTATAAAAATGGGTTAATTCCTAGAGTTAGATAACACAAATTGAATAGAAGGCAAAGCCACAATTAGAGAGTGAGAGCCATGAAATAGGGATTTGGTGAGTGAGCCAATTTGTGAGGCTTAAGAGATTCTTGTAATATTTCTTCTTCATAGTGAAATTTCACAATGGCAAAGTGGACGTAACTCTCATACGGAGATTGACCCACTATAAATCTTGTGTTTGTGTGTGTGTGGTTATTTTGGGTCCTTTGTTCGCACTATTTTTTGCTTTCAAGGATTTTGGATTTGCTAGTATTCAATTAAATCCCCCCAACAATTGGTATCAGAGCAAGGTTCAAGGAAGAAAGTGATGGTTAGAGAAGAATGAGGATTTGCACCTAGGATCAACAAGTTTGATGGAACAGATTACGCGTTTTGGAATATGCAAATTGAAGATCATCTGTATGGCAGAAAATTACATCTACCTTTCCTAGGAGCAAAATTTGAAAAGATGTCAGATAAGGATTGGGCATTCCTTGATAGAGAAGTATTAGGAGTCATTTGGTTGACACTGAACAAGAACGTGGCAAGTAACGTGGTGAAGGAGACAACCACAATAGGGTTGATGAAGATCTTGTCTGATATGTATGAGAACTCTTCTGTGAATAATAAAGTACATCTTATGAAAAAATTATTTAATCTTAAGATGAAAGAAGGTGCTTCCATGACAGAGAATATGAATGATTTTAATACAATTATGAATCAACTATCATTTGTAAAAATTGATTTTGATGAAAAAGTTCGTGCCCTAATTCTTATGGCCTCCTTACCAAATAGTTGGGAGCCTATGAGAGTAGCAATTAGTAATTCAACGGTAGTGCGAAATTAAAACTCATAGATGTTAGAGACAAAACTCTCGTTGAGAAGGTTCGCTGGAAAGATTCGGGTGAGATAACATCGAATGCTTTGAATGTTGAAAGAAGAGGCAGGGGCTACGATAGAAAATCAAACCAAGGCAGAGGAAGATCAAAATCAAGGAACGAAAGAAGCAAGTCCAGGTTTGGGAAAAAGGTTGTGTTGGAATTGTGGCAACAAAGACCACATACAGAGGAATTGCAAAGCACCAAAGAAAGAGGAGAACATCAATAATGATGTCGCCAATGCTATAACTGAGGAGGTACAAGATGCTTTACTTTTATCTATTGATAATTCTATTGACTCTTAGGTTTTAGATTCAGAAGCTTCATTTCATACCACTGCACACCGTGAAATTCTAGAAAATTATGTGGCTGGAAATCATGGAAAGATATACCTAGCAGATGGAAAACCTTTGGATATTATAGGTATGGGTGATGTTAGGTTGAAGATGACAAACAGATCTATGTGGAAAATCCAGAAAGTAAGGCATGTACCAAAATTGATGTGCAATCTAATATTAGTTGGGCAACTTGAAGATGAAGGGCATAATGTGTCCTTTCTAGGTGGTGTATGGAAAGTTACTAAAGGAGCCATGGTGGTTGCTTGTGGAAATAAAATTGGAACTCTTTACATGACCTCTAGTTGCAGAGATTCAATTGCAGTTGTAGATGCTAATGTTACCTCAAGTTTGTGGCATTGTAGAATTGGGCATATAAGCATGAAAGGATTAGAGGAGCTTCAATCAAAGGGAAAACTACTAGAGTTGAAGTCGATTGATCACAGTTTGTGTGAAGGTTGCATCTTTGGCAAACAAAAAAGGGTAAGTTTTTTTCCAAAGTAGCAAGGGAACCAAAGGCAAAGAAGTTGGAGTTGGTTCATACAGATGTGTGAGGACCCATTCCTTCGTCATCCCTTGGAGGCCCAAAGTACTATGTGACGTTCATTGATGATGCGAGCAAAAAACTATATTTACTTTAAAAAAATGGAGAGCCATGATTGAAAATGAGACAAACCTAAGGGTGAAGTGCTTGGGATCCGATAACGGGGGAGAGTACATTAATCAAGGGCTCAACGAATATTGTGTCAATAATGGGATCAAGATAGAGAAGACCATTCCTAAAACTCCTCAACAAAATGGTGTTGCCGAAAGGATGAACAGAACCCTAAATGAGCGTGCAAGAAGCATGAGATTGCATGTTGGACTACCACAGACATTTTGGGCTGACGCAATCAATATTGCAGCCTACTTGCTCAATAGAGGACCCTCTATACCACTAAATTTCAAGATCCCAAAAGAAGTTTGGAACAGCAAAGAGGTAAATTATTCTTTCTTAAGAGTGTTTGGTTGTTTAGCATATGTTCGCATTGACTCTACTCTTAGAAGTAAGCTTGATGCTAAATCTAACAAATGTTTTTTTATTAGTTATGGTGACGCCGAGTTTGGTTATTGTTTCTGGGATGACCAAAACCACAAGATTATAAGGAGCAGAGACGTCATATTCAATGAAGAAGTGATGTACATGGATAAACTCAACATGAAGTTAGAAAGTCCAAACACTGAAGTGAAGAAGCAAGAGGTAGTTCCTTTGAAAGACTTCCCAAGAAATGACATGCAAGACAATGACAAGGAAGATCAAGATAACATAGCTCTAGAAGTTGAACCACAAATGCCCGTGTTTGAACCTAAAAGATCTCCTAGGACTATAAAACCACCACAAAGGTACTCACTTTCATTGAATTATATTCTACTAACTAATGAATCTCTAGTTAAGGCAAACCTTGGGTGAGAAAAATCATTTACTCAATTTTAAAAGAGCATGTTGATAGACTTTAAAGAAATATTCAATTTTTTAAGTAAGTTTTGTTGAGATTGTGGAATCAAATTCAATCCAAATTAGAGTTGGATTAAGGCATGGGTTTTCCTAATTTGTGTTTAACTAGAATTGTTTTCTTTTTGGAATACAATTGGAAATAGGATTATAATTGTATTAGGAATTAAAATATAATTCCTATTAGGATATGGGATTTGAGTCCTATTAGGAAGTGTGTCCCATGTATTACCTATAAAAATGGGTTAATTCCTAGAGTTAGATAACACAAATTGAATAGAAAGCAAAGCCACAATTAGAGAGTGAGAGCCATGAAATAGGGATTTGGTGAGTGAGCCAATTTGTGAGGCTTAAGAGATTCTTGTAATATTTCTTCTTCATAGTGAAATTTCACAATGGCAAAGTGGACGTAGCTCTCATACGGAGAGTGAACCACTATAAATCTTGTGTTTGTGTGTGTGTGGTTATTTTGTGTCCTTTTGTTCGCACTATTTTTCGCTTTCAGGGATTTTGGATTTGCTAGTATTCAATTAAATCCCCTCAACAACTGGTATCAAAGCAAGGTTCAAGGAAGAAAATGATGGTTGGAGAAGAATGAGGATTTGCACCTGTGATCAACAAGTTTGATGGAACAGATTACGCGTTTTGGAATATGCAGATTGAAGATCATCTGTATGGCAGAAAATTACATCTACCTTTCCTAGGAGCAAAATCCGAAAAGATGTCAGATGAAGATTGGGCATTCCTTGATAGACAAGTATTAGGAGTCATTTGGTTGACATTGAACACGAACATGGCAAGTAACGTGGTGAAGGAGACAACCACAATAGGGTTGATGAAGATCTTGTCTGATATGTATGAGAAACCTTATGCGAATAATAAAGTACATCTTATGAAAAAATTATTTAATCTTAAGATGAAAGAAGGTGCTTCCATGATAGAGAATATGAATGATTTTAATACAATTATTAATCAACTGTCATCTGTAAAAATTGATTTTGATGAAGAAGTTCGTGCCCTAATTCTTATGGCCTCCCTACCAAATAGTTGGGAGCCTATGAGAGTAGCAATTAGTAATTCAATGGTAGTGCGAAATTAAAACTCACAGATGTTAGAGACAAAACTCTCGCTGAGGAGGTTCATTGGAAAGATTCGGGTGAGATAACATCGAATGCTTTGAATGTTGAAAGAAGAGGCAGGGGCTATGATAGAAAATCAAACTGAGACAGAGGAAGATCAAAATCAAGGAACGGAAGAAGCAAGTCCAGGGTTGGGAAAAAGGTTGTGTTTGAATTGTGGCAACAAAGGCCACATACAGAGGAATTGCAAAGCACCAAAGAAAGAGGAGAACATTAATAATGACGTCGCCAATGCCATAACTGAGGACCTACAAGATGCTTTACTTTTATCTATTGATAATTCTATTGACTCTTAGGTTTTAGATTCAGAAGCTTCATTTCATACCACTGCACACCATGAAATTCTAGAAAATTATGTGGCTGGAAATCATGGAAAGATATACCTAGCAGATGGAGAACCTTTGGATATTGTAGGTATGGGTGATGTTAGGTTGAAGATAACAAACAGATCTGTGTGGAAGATCTAGAAAGTAAGGCATGTACCAAAATTGATGTGCAATCTAATATCAGTTGGGCAACTTGAATATGAAGGGCATAATGTGTCCTTTCTAGATGGTGTATGGAAAGTTACTAAAGGAGCCATGGTGGTTGCTCGTGGAAATAAAATTGGAACTCTTTACATGACCTCTAGTTGTAGAGATTCAGTTGCAGTAGTAGATGCTAGTGTTACATCAAGCTTGTGGCATTGTAGACTTGGGCATATAAGCATGAAAGGATTGAAGGAGCTTCAATCAAAAGGAAAACTACCAGAGTTGAAGTCGATTGATCACAGTTTGTTGAAGGTTGCATC